AAACCTATGTTACTTCATCATTTCTCTGTGTCAGGGTTCCTCTAGTTCAACAGATGAAGAAGTCCAGAGACTGGGGTGGACAGTATGAATGAGTGAGGACACTAAGTACTTTATGATTAGTGATTCTTCTGAACTACCAATCTCCAAAACTCCACATAAACTAGGGAATCATGCTGTTCCTGGAAGCCTGTTCTAAATATACAGCAAAAAGGTCACAGACACAGAATGATTCCAGCTTCCATAACGAAAGTGAAAACAGTCGTATCTTCTACATGCCTGTGTGACTTTTTATCAGCATCCTCATGAACGTGCTTCTGAGACTAACTTGTCAACAGTTTCTTAGTGTCCTAAATCTGAGCATCCATGTTACAAGCAGAACTACTTTTCCCAGGCAGGTATTAGAAAAAAAAAAAATCCTTAAAATATTTTTCCATTAAAGCAAATGAAAGAGGTCTCTACCCACTGGAACACCACAGGAGAATCTAACAGTGAGTTCATACCTAAGGTTGAGATGCCAAGTTCTCAAACACTATTTCAGGCAGGTATGCAGGGAAAAGTGAAATTCTCTTCAAAAACCACACTCTGCTAGCTCTTGCATTCTTACATGTTGTGCTCAAGCTCACTTCAGCAAGATGGCTGCCAAAAGCATTGACCCCAAAATCGCAACTTTTTTTTTTTTTCCCCAATTGCAGAGTAACTTTTGTTGACACCTATGTGATGAGAAGAACTTTGTAGAGGTAGATGTTTATTTCTACAGATACTCTTCAACTCACTCAGCTTCACAATATGCCTTTTAGACTATTACTTCCAACACAAGCTCTACCAGGGACGCTAAATTCGTGGCATACCTTGCTGGAACTGATTCAAGCTGGTCTAACTTTCAAGAGTTGCAAAAGAAAAAGAAAAGGTAAACAAAGGACATGACAGGGACTGAAGGCAGGTGCCTCTGGCAAGGCCAAAAAGTCATTTCGAGTATTCTTGGACTTGGAAAATTATTTCTAGGTTCCATTTCTACTGCTCCCAAGGGCCAACGAAGCCGCCTGCGCACGTGGGATGGGAGCCGAGAGACCACTCTTACTCAACTCATTTTTGAGGAGCGTGAAAGATGATCTTCAGCCTTGGAACAGAAAGCAGCGCGAGGCAAGACACCGGAGTGAAAAATATAGCCGATTGCCTCAGCTGCCACCCAAGCCAGCCCGGCACAACATGTCTGCCTCTCCTAATGCCAAGTCACTTGCCAGCCCGAGGCCCTCGGGCCCCTCCGAGCC